GGAGCCTTCGGTGGTGGGCCTGTCAGCAGGGACGGGGGGCGCTGTCCATCCACAGACCGCGGGCGCCTCCGGGGCACGGTGCTGCGTGGAAGGGGCTGGTGTTGAGGGGTGCATCCTGTGCTATCGCACTTACAGGGCAGTCGCAGCCGTGACAACGGGTGGCACGAGGGGCGGGGCTGATGGGATGTTCTTCGTCCCGATGCCCGAGGGGCCGGTCAGGGAGAGCCACGCATGTGTGAAAGCTCGCAGGCTATGTGAAGAGAACTTACACTCTGACTCGAGGTCCAATATGTGGATAAGACCAAAGTCCAGCCACAGAAAACTCAAGCCAGAAAGGCCTCGAGATCTGTAGGGTCTATTTTCGCCAACCTGAGCGCTTTCCGAAGAAAAATAGCAAGGCGGTTGGTCGTCCAGGGACCACGCTTTCCCTAGGGCAGTGGTTCTCAACCTTCTGGCCCTTTAAATACAGCTCCTCATGTTGTGACCCAACCATACAATTATTTTCGTTGCTACTTCATCACTGTCGTGTTTTTCGTTGCTACTTCATCACTGTCATGTTGCTACTGTGATGAATTGTCACGTAAATATCTGACATGCAGGATGGTCTTAGGCGACCCCCGTGAAAGGGTCGTTCGACCGCCAAAGGGGTCAGGTTGAGAACCGTTGCCCTAGGGAATCGTAGATGCTAAAGATAAAGCTGTGTGCACGCCCGTCAGCCCGGCTGCGAGGTGGTGGTGGTGGCCATGTGGTCAGGCACGGGGGTGCCGGAGCAGGAGGGAGGGGTTGCGGGCACAGGGCAGCAGGTCCCGGCGCTGAGATGAAGGGGACCTGGGGCAGGAGGACAGGGTGTGACCAGAGCCTGGGGGACAGGACAGTAGATGGGGCGGGACACACAGACCCGCCCAGGCCGCATCCAGTAGGTGCTGAGCAGGGCCGCCTGCTCCCTGCTTCACTGGCAAAGCTGCCGGCCCCCCACCCCGGGGACGTTCCCGTGTGGCACCCCACACGGACGCGCGCACAGGGGCGCTGATGGCCGGAGCGCAGACCGCAGCTCACGGGGACTCACTTTGCTCCTAGCAACACCCGCCGGGCGGCGGAGGTGTGGATGGACGAGTACAAAAACTTCTACTACGCCGCCGTGCCTTCCGCCAGGAACGTCCCTTATGGCAAGTAGGTGTCGCCTGTGCCCTCTGGCCGCTCTGCGTGGGGCCCTGGGGAGGGACGTGGTGTGGGGGGGCTAGCCTGAACCCCAAGAACTGCCCAGGTGACAAAGGGGGACCTCCCTCTGCTCCAGGGAGGGCCTTGGGCCCAGGGTGGGGGCCAGGGCGGGGTGACAGGGACACGGGCGATCCAGGCTTCACACCCACCCAGCCCTGTTCTGGGGCAGGCGTCCAGGTTGGACGTGGAGCCCACGCGTTTGAACTCGTGTGAGAGCGTCCGCTTCCCTCTTCTCAGTATCCAGAGCCGCCTGGAGCTGAGGAAGAAGCTGAGCTGCAAGCCTTTCCGCTGGTACCTGGAGAACGTGTACCCGGAGCTACGGTGGGTACTGCGGCCGGGCCGGGGTCTCCCTTTCAGGGCTTGGGGGTGGGCAGCAGAGGGCAGCCAGGTGGCAGGCTCTCGCCATGAAGTGGGGTTTGTGCCCTGGCCAGTTTGGCTCCGTGGATAGAGCGTCGGCCTGCAGACTGAAGGGTCCCGGGTTTGATTCAGGCCAAGGGCACATACCTCGGTTACAGGCTCCTCCCCGGCCCGGGCCCTGGTTGGGGCTCGTGCAAGAGGCAACCAATCGATGTGTCTCTCACATCCATGTTTCTGTCTTTCCCTCTCTCTCCCACTCTCCCTAAAAATCAGTGGGAAAATATCCTCGGATGAGGACTAACAAAAAAATTAGAAAAAAAAAGTGGGGTTTGTGCTGCAGTGAGGGTAGAAGTGCAAACACGGGCCCCCGTGGGGGGCTGCGGGGCCTGCCGATGGCCTCCCTCCTTCCTCTCCTCGCTCCTGCTGCCCGAGACAAGCCACCAGCCCGGGGTCCCTCGGAGTTAAGCAGTCGATCCTCCGTTGCCATCCAGGGTCCCCGACCACCAGGACATAGCCTTCGGCGCCTTGCAGCAGGGCACCAACTGCCTCGACACGCTGGGCCACTTCGCCGACGGCGTCGTCGGCGTGTACGAGTGTCACAACGCGGGGGGCAACCAGGTGGGTGCACGCGGGAGCTCGGGCACCTGGGGCCCCAGGAGCCGGGCG